ATCAACTTGTACAGTGTGATGTAGAAACTTGAAGCCACCAGTGCACATCCACTGAGAATGGACTTTACAGTGAAGTAGGAGACATCTTGTGTCCAGCAGGAAAACTTTAGAAATGAACATTCGTTTTAATGACGCAGAAGGAGGAGTTTTTAGAACTTTTTAAGGGTTTTAATGTGGACATTAAACTTTTTTGTGGACACACATTAATCAAGTTCTATTTGTATGATGTCTTAATACATGTCTGGAGATCTCCAGTGAACAAAAGCTCCCTCACAGGACGGCTCTGTGGATGACAATGTCGTAGGTCAGTCTGCCACTTTGGCCAAGACTGAAATGTTCCAACAACTATTGGATGGATTGCCATGAAATATTTTGGAAACATTTATGTTCCCTCGAGGATGAATCCTAATGATGATCCTCAGACTTTTCATCTTGCGCCACCAGAGGGTCAAAGTTTTCACATATCCAGTAAAATATCTCAACATCTACTGGATGGATTGGCACGAAACTTTGCACAAACATTTATGCTTTCAAGATGATATATCCTACTGGCTTCGGTGACCGCCTCACCTTCCCTCTAGTGTGGCTTTGTGAGGTTGACATTCATGGTTTTGGGTTAAATATCTCAACAATTGTTGGGTGGATTGTCATGTCTCCCTCAAGCCGATTTGAAATCAGGGTTCAGGTTACGTGGGAGCCAGTGGGATCTGAGTTCTCATATGATACATTACCACAACCATTATTCTAATGACAAATAATGCATTTTTCAATGTAATGAGTAACATTACAGTAACTACTATTCCATTGGACTTTGCATTGACTGCTTGCTTTGTATTGGATTTAAAACTGGTAAAACGATGCCTTCTCCCATTAGTGGAGCGCTACATAGTGCACCTACACTCACATGATAACAAAAACGGCAGAGTTTCGTCCTCCTTTTAAGTGATGAGTCTGGGTTGTCATATATTGAGACCTTGTTGCAGTATGGCAGGGCCGGTTCTGGTTGTTGCCATCTACCTGATACAACTGTTGCAAGTAGTGGGCTGCTGTGTGTGTGTCTGTGTGAAAGTGTTAGACAATGTAATGAGCCCTAACCCCCACAAAACTCAGATTATAAACAGATAAAAGCTTAACTTTCATCTGCTTTGGTTAATCACTAAGGACATCCACATCAGCTGGACTTTGGGTTTAGCACTAATTAGCAAATGTTAACATGCTAACAAGCTGAACTAAAATGGTGAACATGGTGAACATTTTACCTTATAAACATCAGCATGATAGGTACAGCCTCACAGACTCTTTGACTCACTCACCCTTTTTTGCTTTTTTGGTAAACTTTGGCCATCTTGTTGACAGGCACTGCATATTTCTCTGAGATCTGTGAAACACAGCGAGGAAACATGTTGAAGCACCCCGAGGCCCTAGCTCAGTGTCATCATTATATAAACAGAATTGTGTTAACGATCTGGGATTGCCTAATCCTGTTTAGCACAATGGATGCAATGTGTTGGTTTCATTATTTCAGCCTAAAGCAGCTAAAACGATACTTCATTAGTACTCACTGCCTCCATCAGCGCTTTGAGGGTTGGGGTGTGCAGCATTAAGGCATCAAACACTTCATCGCACTCCTTCCTCACATACAGCAGAACTGATGATGCATGGAATAGAGAAGGCATAAGACCATCAGCCATTCAGTCAAGGGATAAGGTAGACGATGTAAAACTAGTGATATTTACAAACCTTTCCTTTCCAGTTCCACTTTGGACTTCTTGGGCTGAGGTGGACAGACGTCTTCCTCAGCAGCACATGACATCCTCTTCACCAGAACACTCCTGACACACACACACACACACACACACACAGTCATCATTTAAAGGGAATACTACTGGACCTGTAATTTGAATGTCTCATTTCTCTAGACAACAGATTAAATAACAGTAAAAACAACAGTATGATACTCACCCATCTCTGTTGACCTCCTCTGTGTTGAAAGCAAACACCTGCAAACGGAGTAAAAAAAAAGGTAACATGAGGCGCACGGCAAGACTGTACACTGACTGGACATTTCCTACGTGTGTGTACGTTAGAGCAACAGACAGACGAGGGTCCCTCACCTGTCCCGCTCTCTGCAGGTTTCCAAAGTGGACATCAGGAATGAAGAGAACCGGCTGGGAGTCCAGGTCTATCATGCTTTTTAACAGCGTGTTATCAGCCCTCTTAACGGGAGAGGTCAGCCCCGAGCTGCCATTTTTCCCTAATCCAGAGAGAGATTGAGCATCTGTTGCCAGGCAACCACTCCAAGTACAGATTTGATAAGGTTTGATTACATTTGCCTGGCTTTTTAGTCTCCTATTCAATTTTATGGTTTCCTGAAAAGTGCTTTCTAACCTTGTTTCAGTGGATTTGAATACAAACTCACCAATATCATTTCTGTACATAACATTAAAACTAATACATATCATTCATTTCAATATTTAGCCAAAGACGGAGGAAAAAGTGCTTTTACCTTTCATCCTCTTCCTGAGCTGCTTCTTCTCCTCATCACGAAGCTTCCTCTCAGCGCCCTGCAGAAAAGGAAAGGCAGAATATGCTCAAAGAGAGTAAAAGTAAAGAAAGACATTTTTCATCTTCCATCCCGAAATGATCCACTCACTGCTGACCAGATCGCGCCAGCAGGCCGTCCTCACCTTGTCGCAGAAGACCTTGATCTGAGCGAAGGCCCTGTGGATGGGCCTGCTGCTGCAGCTGTTGTAGCTGTAGGTGTCAATCTGGATTGTCAGAGGCATCCCCTTCACGCCCTTCTGCGAGGAGAAGTCTGTGCTCAGGCAGTTCACAGAGATAAAGACCTGGGAAACAGACAAAATAAGACAGAGGACAGGCTTATTTTCTAGAGTTCTGTGACCTGAAACAAGCAGTGAGAGAGAGGATTATCAAATAGAAAGAAGATTGCAGAGCAGCTTAACTCACTTGAACAAACAGAAACTATGATTTGATTCAAAAAGTGAATCCTTCACATTGAGTCAGCTGTACCACCTGAACATTATGTGAGTGCATAGAAACTAATCAGGACACCAGCAGAGGTCTAAAGCTAGCTATAATTAACGGATTAATGGTTAAAATAGAAAGGTAAAATTCATACTTAGCTAAACCGATACATTGTTTTTTCTTGTAATTCAAATTTTGATTACATGAAAAGAAAGAAGAAAAAAAAAGACCAAATACAGACAACAACAACACAAATGCACAGCACCAGAAACAGTTCGCCACATGTTACAGAGAAGAAAATCTACATATATTTAGATTCACCACTGCCGATTGTTGTCATTGATCATGCTGTCGGTTAAACGAACAGCTGTTTAGTCCATAAAACGATGAAACAATGTTGACTGCTGCCCAGGCCCAAGCTAACATCCTCAACCCTTCCTTCTCTCCACAACCCAGAGACATTCATCCAGCCCACTGTCACAGAGGAACAAAGAACCCAGAAAACATTCACAATAGAGAAAACAAATCAGAGCACATCAGAGCAGACATCTTCTCAACAAACAAACAAACAAACAAAACAATCCAACCATCAAGAAGCAACAATTACTCAACCAACTGTGCTCTAAATAGAACATGCTTGTTTTGGAAATGATTGCATTGCATCATCCATCAATCAATACATTGTAAGGGCTTCATATATCTAACTGTCAAATGAAAAGTTGAAAACAAAGAAAGATAAAATAGTTCAAAGTAATGATAAAAGTAATAGAAAAGTGATGGGTATTAAACTCTAACTTTATTATACATAAATAGTCGAAATAGCTAAACATAATGAAATAGTCCAGATTCTGCCACTTTAGGTTGTAGTGGTCCAAATGCAACCTCGAACAGGCTGGCCTAAACTCTGGCAGTTATAGATTTCTATCATTTATAAAGTCAGATAACATCCAGTTTAAAATAAATTCAAGTGAACTCATTTGGAACATGACGTGTGGTGTCAGGGTACCTGCCATTATCTGCCAGGGCTGTTGGGAGCCACTTTCACAAAGGAATCTTTGAATATGAAGAAGGACATTTTATAACCCAATTGCAAAAAAAAATGTTATTTACACAGTTGACTCAGAGTTTACAGTGATGGTGAATGAGTTCTATTTCCTTCTGTCTTATCTGAAGTCGTTAATCCTCTCAGTAGTTTTCTGTAGGTGGATGCTTCACATTCACTCTCAACAGAGAGAGGTCAGACCTTCAGTTCTGAGGTCAAACGGGCTTTGAGGGATGTGCTACGAGCTTCCGCCCTAGCAGAAACTAGAAAATGCATCGCGTTCATTCACTTTTTGTAGACAATAACGGTAACCTAAAGCCCATAATAACGGAACCCGCTGTTTGCCTGTCGTCAGCTCAATTACAGCTCAGTTAGTTTTATAGGCAGTCTGGCTCAGATGAGGAGTCAGATCTGATGGAGACCTTGTTCCCTAATGAGTCTCACCCTGACTCATAAACACTGCAGTGACGAGTGAGAGGGTCACAGGGTCATGAGTCACAGCAGCCGCAGCGGTTCACAGCCATGCTAATGCATCCCACCACCTCTCCACACTCCTTATGATAAATGCTTCATATGCTGAAAAATAAGCTTGTGAATGATATGATTCAGGAGAGGTTTGACTTGTTTGTTCTGCAAGCGGAAATTCTGAATTACCGGTAGTTTATTATTGTTGTAAAGCCACAGCTTTGCTCGAAAATCACTAAATAATGTAGCAGAGCTGCTGATCTACTGCCTTTCTGAGCTGCTGAATCTTTTAAAAGCTTGTGAGAGAAAAACAGAAAACAAAACCTCACCCAAATCAGCCTAAAAACTACTACTACAATGTAAACAATAGTACGTGCGGTTAGCTTCACACGTTTTCTTACATGATGGAACAGATTCCCATGATTAATGATGCCATTTGTTTAATGCCAAAGCAGCATCTAAACCAACGCAAACTCCTGATGAATTTTCCAGTTAAACAGGACCGACAGCCTGAGGTCGGCAGAGACAAGTAACGGTAGAGATTCCTCACCGCGGCTCAACAGCAATTTTCCCACTAGGCAGCAGCAACAGCATCGTGTCTCAACCTGCAGAGGTGAGGGCTGATTGCTAGAAAGGCCTGGAGCACAAATGAGCCTCCTACACACCTACACAAATTCACACCTCCACAGACCCAAGCCATTTATATTTCTCCAGGACCACTGGACGCGTTGCTGCTAGCATCTGTGTGTGTGTGTGTGTGTGTGTCTGTGTGTGTGTAGGAGGCTTGTTGTGTTTGCGCAGTGTAAGCAGTGAAAATCCCCGCCTAAAAAGAGAAAAGTTCACAAGGGCACTGGTAAGTGGCTGTTCAGTGCCATCCGCTCAACCAGGCACAAACAAACAAACACAAAAACAGAGTCAAGCTGCAGGAAGCAACTCATCTCCCCTACCAACACATTTCACACTATTCCTCATTACAATGGGGATGATGATTGTTGCCTGGCAACAGCAGAGCCATGCCAAAACAAAGAGCAAAACTGATCATTTGTACCACAAATACAAAATTTTGTGTGTCAGCCCATCAGAGCCTGATTGGACATCCAATTATGTTTGGAAAGCAAAATTTCTACATGGCACAACACAGAGAGAAAGAGATAGAAGTGACATTTGAGCCGACGTTTCCTCACAATAACAAGAAGTGTTCTCTCTCTCAACCTCTTCCACCTTATTTCCAGCAGGCTCTCGTCCTGTGTGCAGGCTTACGAGGGCAACTGCACAGTCAGTGTGCAGCAGCAAGGCTGATAATGATCATCCGGTTTGTATCTGATAGCACTGCCACACATTCACATTCCTAATCACATAAACCAGAATCAACCTGCTCACCACCAAGCATTCAATAGCACTGATTGTCATCAATATTCTGCGGAATGATCCTTTCACCCTTTGGCTTAAGAGAAATACAGAGATCTTGGAAATGAAGCTCTTTAAGTGTGACAAGATGAGAGTTAGAGCTGGGCATTGAGGATGAAATTAATACTGTAATATGAATAATAAGGTTTATCTTCATCATATTAAAGAAAATGCATCACATATAAAATGATCAAACTGTGTACATCAGTAAAATGTTTTCACATGTCTAAAACAACAAGACTAAGGGACTGTATGAAAATTATTTGGGGAAGGGGTGGTCAGAAAAGGGGGCAGGTTAGGTACTCTCTTTGGCATTTTTTCCTCACTTTTTATTTAAGCCTTCCCTGTCTGCACAACATTTTTTGGCAATCCATTCAATAGTTGTAGCAGACACCTAACTCAGAACCAAACATGTTGACCTGAAACTAGAATTACTGCCACCTTCAACCAGTCAAGTTGCAGTTTACATCCATGCTCTTTCCAGATGTTTGAATCTGGATCTTCATTCACCAGGAGATTTGGCCTCTTCTCTCATGTGTGTCTCTCTCTCTCTGTCTCGCTCTCTGTCTCTCTCTACAGTATGTTCTCAAAATAATGCTAAACAATGGTACATTATTGTACCATATTGTACCTGTATCATCACTCCACCACCTGAACACACTAAAAACAATTACAGCGGAGTCAAGGTTTATTCCAAACAGTAAATATTTATCCACAAACCCACAAAGCTGCAATTACCTCTCTCACAATGAGGCTGTTTGTGGAGTTTCATTAAAGCTGAATGGGAGCCACAGCTCTCCTCGGGCTCTCCTGAGCCCAAAACACCCTGAAGGTGGGCTGTTGCTGTGTGTGTGGGTGTGTTTACGCGTTGTTTGCAATTTGTCTTTATCTCACTGACCACCCTTACAAAAGGTGAAATCTGAGAAGGGTCTGTTGCCGCGTGCCCCGTGTGTCTGCCATCCCAAATCTTGACCCAACACAAAGCAAGAGACGCTCCCCATGTCACTGAGGACAAAGGGGTTTGGGGGGTGGCTGGAGGGGGCTGGCATATGCTCCACCAACTATTCTGAAAGCATGAGCAGTCAGCAGGCCACTGACACACACAGCAGAGTGAAACAGAGTATAAAAGCTTTGGTTTCATTGAGCAGTCTTTCCCACAAGTGGCTACAAGTTTTGTACTAACAAAAAGACAGTGAAAGTGAAGGTAAGAGAATAAATAGTAACTACTTTCACAATTATTTCTTGCTTTGGCTTGAACAGCACAATCTCCCTCCTCCTCCTCCTCCTCCTGCTCCTCCTCCGCCTTTTTACCTTTGCGTCTTCACTGACATCCCATGTGAAAGAGACAGCGTTGTAGGCAATTTCCTCCACGTTGCCGATCGTGCTGAAGCTCTCCTTGTAGTCGGCTGCGTACAAAGTGAAGATCAGAGAGAACCAGTGGGTGTGATGCTAAAGTTCAAGCACTTTCAGACACTTTTAAAGTTGTGGCACAAGCAATAACAGGATACAACAATGTAAAAATACTGCATTACAAGTAAAGGTCCGGCATTTGAAATCATCCGGTATTAGCAACAAATTGTACTGTATTAAGTGTCAAAACTACCCCTTTGACTGAGATTTTATTATAGATGACATTAATGGATTGTAAATTCTGATGCATCATTGCATAAGTAGTATTTTATTATTGTTGCTAGTCAAAGTGGAACTAGTTTATATATTTTTTGGTAGTTTAGTCCAGTGGTTCCAAACCAGGAGGTCAGAAAAACAGTTCTACTACTCAGATTTTTTAACCTTTTTTCTCCGTGGTGGTAACAAGCTAAAATATTGGAAACCATTGGTTTCATTTTAACTATGCATTGTATTTGCAATGCAATTCAATTTTATTTGCTTAGCACCATATCATAATAACTAGTTATGAAATTATTCATAAGGAGACCCAATCATTCCCACCATGAGCACTAAACAACATCCTTTTACCAGGCACTGGTACCATATGACCATATGGTCTTTTCTGTATAATCCTAATTTGAAAAGAAACCATTAATTACAGCTGTCTGATAAATGTAGTGGAGTAAAAACTACAATATTCTAGTGGAGTAGAAGTATAACATAAAATGGAATTGCTCAAGTAAGTACAGTACAAGTTAAAGCACTACTGTACTTTCCACCACTGTTCAACTAAAATGAGACTAAGATGTATCTGTTTAAACTAATTATCTGCCAACAAATCAAGTGCCAAATGAATCAAAATTTCCATAAAGCCATTGTCACCTCCTAAAACACTCAACTTCTGCTCACTCACACATCTTCCACCCTCCTACAATAGGTTACAGATTGTACATGGTACTGGCATGAACTTGCCACAGACAAAACCACAGCTGACACCTCAGCTTCATTCCAATGAATTTTCAACCACAGGCTGAGGCCTGTCTCTTGCTGATCATACAGGATATGGCCTCAATCCAGGCCCCCACCCATTTCTCCTGTTAACGTCTATGCAAATGCGGACCTATTGGCTGTCTCTTCACAGTGCTGCTGGGAATTGAGTATTGACAGTTATTCAAATTGTGTCGGGTTTCACCTCTGGATATGTGGCGGGATTCTCTTGGAGGCTCCTGCAGGTTAGCCACCTGCTTACTCTCTGTTCTCCTCATGCCTTTGTGGAGCTTGAGTGTCAAAATATCTATATCCAAGTGTGATATTCAATACCAAGTGTCTGGGCCATTTTTCTGTCTGTGCCTATTCCCCATCTGTTCTACTTATAAACCCAACCAGGCCATGAATATAGCAGACAGGCCTAACAGTGAGGAGGATAACAATAATCATCATACCAATGTCCAGGACTCTCTGCTTGGCAGTGTGCTGACGGGAGTGCCAGTATTTCCAATTCTTCAGCTGCTCGTCTCTGCACTTGTCTTCCCCAAAGACAACCATTATAACACTCTAAAGTGGAAGCAAAGATAATCAATATATATTAACAGTAAAATCAGGCCAAAGCTGAATCAAACTGATTCAAAATCAAACATTACATGTTTAAGTGTAACAAGGATGTATGCTACCCAACAGTAAAACCCTCAACATCTTCCTCTACACTTCCTCTCTGTGTACTATCTCCCCTCCCTCACCTGTACAATACTGTCCCGCTGCAGCTCAGAGCCTCCCATGGTGCATTTCTCACTACTGGATGGGCTCCCATCAGGCCTGTGTGACAGCGTTGGTCCACTCACCCGCACTTTACCTCTGGGCTGAAGTAGGGACGGTGTGAAGGCGGTCTTCGACAGGGTTAAAGCGTAGAACTGGCCCCGGTTCAGGTAAGCCATGGGTCCTTCTGCCTGCCGCGGCCGCAGCGACATGCTGGCCTCCAGACAGTACTGGAAACTGTCACTGTTAGAACATAAGCATGTGTGGGGCATCAAGATAAAACACATTTTAGGTTAAATGTTAAATTTGCACAAATGGTGTCAACATTTTAATTTAAAAATAAAAATAAAAATAAAAAATCTTCTGTTTTCTGACTGGTTTAAGTAGTTTGGTGGAGGGAAGGGTGTGTTTTTACATTGCAAACGGAGCATGACAAGAAGGCTGTTATTATCTTATGGATCTAAACAAAAAGGTTCAATGGTACTCTGATGCAACAACACAGCTTTAAATGAGAAGTCGGGTGATATTCTATATTGTTCTTGTCAACAAATCCCATGAAAGAATCTAAACCAACAATGAATTGTTGCTACTAACAAGTATTGGATGTGAACCAAAGTCTGATATATCCTCTTTCTGTTCCATAGAGCTCCATTGTTGTTCAGAAACTACTGAGTGAGCCTCTCTGTTGCACTGCGTGACATGTTTCTTTTAATATTATCAACACGCATGCTGTAGTTTATTTGGACTCAAGCCCACACACACACACCGTTCTGCTACCATGCAGCAAGTACTAGCGCAAATGTGTGGTGTATTAATGAGTGGCTCATAATAGTCCCCAATAAACACTGTTTTCTCCTGTTAGTAATGCTTGCTAAAACCTACAGTTGTGTTAGGAAGTTATTGGGTTTTATTTTATACAAAACTATATATATTTCTGACCCAGGTTAAGAGAGAGTTCTTGAAGATTTACATCGTATGGAGGAATGAATGGGCTTGGGGCTGAGAGCCACAGAAAGGCTGGGGGAGTCTTGAGAAGTACTGAGAGACAGACTTGATTTTGGTCTTTTTGTGGGATTTGTCAACCTTGCCTTATCCTTGATAAACACCTGATAAACACTTCAGCATCAGAACATTATGTGTAAACCTGTGTACGTCTGTATGTTTAATGCTTTTGCTTGTCTGTGAATTGCAACTTACACTGGTAGACTGTAGTGGAATTCACCAACTCCTGAGGAGGGACTTCGGTGGTACATCTGGCAAAGAAGAATATACTGTGTGTTTCACATACAAGAATATAACGCTGAAATGATCAGTCGATTAGTCAACCGAAAAAAAATAATCGGCACCTATTTTGATAACCGATAAATCATAACAATAATTTTTCATGCAAAAAAATTGAAGAAAATTCTGTTTTTAACCTCTCAAATATGAAGATTTCCTGCTTTTACCTGTTTTATATTTTGTATATATTGCATCATACTAAACTAAATATTTTGTTCTGGACTGACATGAAACATTTAAAGACCTTAGATATTGAGAAACCAGATATCGTTCACTCTTTTCTGACATTTTATAGACCAAACAATGACTTGATTAATCTAGAAAATATAGTCAGATTAATCGATAATGAAAATAATCCTTAGTTGGAGCCCTAGAAGCATTTAATGCATACAGTGCACATTACTTAGAAGTATATTATGTATATGCCAACCCGCGAGCGGGGGGCAGTGATTGTATCAGAGGGGCCATGCCCCCCCCCTCCATCTTGGCACCGTCACAGATTGAACAAAAACCCTACAAATGTGATTCTGGTTTACAAACAAAGACATAATCCCAAGTCTCACCTCTCCTTCCACAGTGTCCTCATATGTGCTGTCTGGAGTGCTCCTCTGTTCATCTTTCAAGTACCCAGCCAGCTGCAAATCATAGTGGCTCTGCTCATAAACCATCCTCATCTGCTCTCTGGGTTCTTCTTGGTAGGAACCTCCAGAACAGGACACTCCCATGGACGTCTGGCTCTCTGTCTTGACTAGAGCCAGAGCGGCCCCACCTCCACCTTTACCGTCTCCTCCTCTGGTGTCTCCTGCGAGGCAGGTAGCTCCATACTTGGAGCCCTGATGTTCCGTAGCGGTGCTGTTGTTAAGGGAGAGGTTGACTGGCATGGATCTGAGAGCCTGGAGATGGTGATCTAGCATCTCCAAGCTCCCGCAGTTATCAGGCGCATTAGCAGAGGGGTCTGTGGGTTTAACGCCGCTAGAGGAACGTCTCCTCTCTTTAGGAACCTGACAGGATGGAAGCAAACATATTAAATAAGATCTGAAACAAATTCAATAGACCATATGAAAATGGTCTTATTATATCATTATTATTTTGGCTGTTATGCCATTTTTTCCAGACCTTGTAGTAGTCGTACAGCAGTCCCAGTGCTGCCGCACTGTCCTCATCTCCATTGATGCTCATCATGGCCTTAGTGGCCGCAGTCAGTGGGTTCTCCAGGTAGCTCCTCCATGCCTCATCCTCACTGCTGAACACTCTGCGGGATGGCACCAGCTTTTCGTTTGGTACCACCACCACCAGCCGTTTACTGCGAGGCCGACGGGACAACAGGAAGAGACAATAAGCTGTGTTGTTACTGGAAAGTCAATCTGTCATTAACAGAAGCCAAGTCTGCCAAGCCACCAAGTCTGCCCCAGGCTGTTTCTCACCATTCTAATTGCTTGCTCCATGTGAGGTGTGTTTATCTAAGTTCACTTTTGAGGGATAACTGCTGGTATCTCACATTTAATTCACAAAATAATGTACTGATTTATTTCCAGGAAATTCAATACCAATAACATAACATGAGTTATTTTTTGACATCTTCCTTGAGAGGCTGGGCAGAAGGGATGTTTATTAGATCTCGGTTTTTGAAGGACCCAGCCTGTACAGTTTTTAATATTCACAGTTAAGTTTGATCTTATTAATAATTACAGTACAAATAAAATAACATGAATGACAGTAAGGTTTTCATAATAAAACATTGGAGTCATTAGGAAATCAAGTAATCTATACAGAATGACAAACAGATATAGAATAAAACACAAAAATACAAAAAATACAGTCATTCTTGTAGCGTCTTATACATGTATGGCCTTTTATCTGTAGCACAACTACTTGATAGAAACTACTTCATGTTAAAGGATTAAACTAGAGAAAATATGTGTTGAGAAAGAAAAGTTGTGCTGCCCATGTGCAAAGAACAAAGAGACAAAGGACAAAGACATCAAAAATATTTCAAGCACTTGTAAAAACTAAGTAAAGTGTAAGTGACAGAAATGATCACCCACAATATGAATGAAGCTCTTACCTGTCCAGGTCCATGTTGCCGCCAGGACTCTCTGCTGTTTTCTAGGACTTGCTTGTGAAACTGGACTTTCTAGTTAGTGCAGGTAGGCTAAGGCTGTGTGGGAAAGGGAAGCTAGGCGCGCAAGAGGCTGGCTCTATTTAACTTCTGTGTTGAAACAGCCAATGAAACGACGGGAACCAGGCGCCCCTGATGCCAGGTACAATGTGAGTCTGCACTGACTGAATAAAAATAGCAGCATTTCCTGCACCGACTGGTTTCTGTGCTGTTCAGTGAAGTTGGCAAATCGAGAGATGGGTATAAACAAGAAAAGGAGCACCTGCCTTGCTGATTGGTCGGATGTTTCCACACAGGTGGCACAGCCGTCTTCCTATTGGCGGAGAAGGAGGGAGAGACAAGGGAAAGGTGGACATGTGTTAGTTTCTGTCTCTTTAACACCTAACACTGCATTGTCCTCTGGTACCAACTGTTGTCTTACTTTAAGGAAGCAGTGAATAACAGCATGCACTCTCCTCACTCGGTTGACATTGGTTGTTATTTGTGTTTTTGTTTTGTTTTTGGTGGATAGTGCAAGATAGGTGAGGACAGGAAGACATATGAAGCATGACAAGGCAGCACAAGTATTGACGGTATTACACAACAACAAAAAACGACAAAAACCAAACAAACCGAAAACAAAAAAAGGAGTAATAATAAAAATCGGAAGTGAATATAAAACGAAGAAAATAAAACAAGACAAAGTAAATACAGGCCACTAGAAGTAAGTTAGGGTTAAGTGGTTGGAGGTATCGGGTAGAAATTGAGATAAAAGTTAACGTTTATTTTCTTATAGAACGTGAAAGATTGAGGTAACTGGGGTAAAAAAGAGAAAAAGAAGAGACAAGACATTTTGACTGAAAATGGCAGATTAACCCTTGGTAAAGTTACTCATAGGAACCCTTTTATGATAAGACTAAATATATGATTAATATAACAAAAATTAAAATAATGCTTCTAGTTTTCAGGTTCGTATTAAAGGCTAATATGTTCGAGATAATATTTCTCTTAATCGTGATTGTACAGGTGTTAATAGAGCAGGAGAGAGGTATAGTAGCTGACTGAGTAACCTTAGCTGTCTGTACTATGACACCTTGTGGTTGACATTTCATTTTGCACCATGCAGACAGATTATTTTTTTCTTCTTCAAACATCTTCCTTATTAAACAGTTATGTTTCACATACATTACCTTTGTACATCCAGTGCTCATTTTCATAGTCCTTACAATTGTGCTTATAGAATAGGAGTTATTAGGAAACCAAGTAATAGGCACATAGGTGTTAAAGAGAATGACAAACATATATGGAATAAACAACTGTTTAAATACAAAAAATAAAAGTGGATAAGAGATTGAAAAAATGCTGATAATACAATAAAATATTGAGTTGACCAGAGAAGCGTTCCTCATAACCCCTGGTTCAGAGAAAATGTTAATCATATATGTGGAATCCACATATCCTATGTGGTTAGCTATATGAGTTATTTTTTTAAATAAACATATTTATATATTCAAGATTCAAGAAGCTTTATTTATCCCGAGGGAAATTACAGTGCAACAGCTGTAATACAAAGGTGGGAAAGTAATACAGGGTTAGGGTTAGAGTAAAAATAAGCTAAAATAAAATAAAATGAAATAAATGCTAACATAAAATAAATCATATGGGTAAATGACTGCTTTACGTTTATAGTTTAGTAAATTTGTTCCCTGCTTAGGATGTCTGATGCTGCGTTTAAGTGCTGTCAGAAAATGCCCCCCCTCGATCCATCCTTACAAAACAAGGCGCATTTGTAAAAGCTTCAGTCGCGACCCCTGACTACACTTGAAGGCAGCATAGCTTACGGTCTGCGCATGCGCATTATCGCGGTGACGACATACCACCAGCAGCGGAAGGTCCCGAGGACTTAACGTAGCGTTTCTTTAATTTTATTTTAGTGGCTATCTTCAGTCAGACATTTACTTTTCACTGGTAAGGCATTTACAAAATGTCTTTTATACCTCTCAATGCCTTTTATCTATTAAACTCATATTTCCTGTATGCGTTCCTCCACACTTTTCTTCCTAGCTAACCTAGCGCCAGTGTTAGCAACCGGCTAACAACATGTTTGTGTCTTAAATAGTACGACAGTAAATGAATGTCCTGTTTATGCTGTAAATGCACTGAGAGACGTGGGTGTTACTAATCCGACCATGTCTAAGGTTACCACAGTAACTCAGACTTAGAAACCGTCGCTTTTAAACTCAACGCTAGCTGAAGTTGGCTAACGTTACCATGTGAGAGCAAAGCGTGGCGGAGGCTGAGCCCACGTCCACCGGTGATCTTGGGTGGGTGACACTTTAATGTGAGAGGTTGCCGAGTAAGATAACATAAAGTAAGCAAAGAGAGGGATGGTTGCTCCTTTCCAACACACCCACTGTAAAGACAATTTGGGGGTTGCTAATGGACCCCAGTGTATTTATAAGTTCATGTTACCGTACCACTGACCCAGTTCCACTGTTGTGTCTATAATAACCTTGAATATCTGCAGTGAGATTTTCTTCGGGGAAATTTCCAAGTTAATTGCCTTATCCCTGTGACCCAAAAAGCGGCAATTAACCTAGTTTATAGAGATGTTTCACAGCCACTGCTGTCGTGCACATTTTAAAGTCTGTTGATCCTATAAGACAGCTGTCTTTACATTTTTGAATCATTAAATACACTGGTGTAACTGCTTCATGTTTCCAGTTAGTCCGCCTCTCAGTGCCTCTGTGACTTACATTTTCCTTTCCATCACCTACTCAGAACTTTGCTTGCAAGCCATCTTATAGTCTTTCTCAGTTAATGGCTCATCACCTTCTTCATGGTGTCGTATAATTTCTTTAGGTCTAGCATCAGATATGGCCCGTGGGCACCAGAAGTTCCAGTCCCAGCAGAAGAATGCCAAAAAGCAGGCAGACATCAAGAAGAGCAAAGGCCATGACCAGAAGGCAGCAGCTAAGGCTGCTTTAGTATACACGTGCACAGTGTGTCGGGTATGTGCTTAGGCGGTAAACAGAGCATAACATTTTGAATTAAATTTGAATTAAATTAAAATTAGCACCCAGGTCCATAGCCAGCAATGCTATTTGCACCCAGGCACACATTAGATACTGAATGTGTATATATTTTGTGCTTAATGCACATGACTTGTCCCATGTGAAACCAAAACTCAATGTTGACTTATTTTAACTAAACCATGATATTTTCTTAAACATGACCAAGTAATTTGTTGCCTAACCCTAATCAGACTGCAACTGGAAAGAAACCAACTGAAAATAAATAAACATTGGGTTTTGGTTTCACATGGGACTCAAACCCTAGTTTCCAAGTGAGATTCTTGTGTTTGACCCATTCATGCACTACAAATTCCTGAAGGCATTCTGGGTGTAAATAGCCAAGTAGCTGCCGGGTGCAAATAGATACTCCGCAAAATGATTCTTTTGTGAACTTGTGCCCCATCATCTTACTCCACATGTCCTCTTAGCCCTGCAGTGGATAACTACATTGCCTAAACCAACTACTTTTAGTACCGTCTAGCTCAGTGTGCTGTAGGTAGTGGTGGGGTTGTATTGACTACATCCAATTGCCAAAATGTTGTTTTATCTCCCAAAAAATAAAACAAAGCTGACCATTAGAAGTGTCACAAAGGTAGGATTTATTTCAGGACACTCGTATTGAGAGCTGGGATATTCCTACTCCGCTAACAGCAGTGTGCTCTGGGAGCTCCAGGTTTAGGTGAATCCATAGTTCCTGTCGGTCATCTTTGTGGGGACTATAACCAAATCCGTGGTAAAGTGGTACAAAGCCCTCTCAGAAAGTTGGTTGAGGAGGCTCTGCTCAAATTTTCTATCTTTCCCAGACTGTCTGACAATGAAGTCCTCTACAGTGATTGTCCAGAATGCACACTGCATGAAAACGGGCAGAACTCCTAAGTGCTTTGTGAACTCTCCCTCTCCACATTGTTCGTGTTCACCACTGTCTGTGTTTGCTGCTGCACTGCACTGATCATCTCTGTGCTGGCAGCGATAAAGTTCTACACAACAGCTGGAAACCTGTGTGTTACCTGTAAATGTAATATTTTAATTGCGTCAGCCTCTTTAGTAGTCTCTTGTCCTAGCGATAACTGATTGTATGAAGGTAGCCGCTGTAAGGGTTTGAATACGTTGGCATTTTTAATGTGGTGGACGATGCGTTGTTTGACCCCACAAGTGACCTTGTTGTGAAAGATTAGATATCCACCTCTAGCTGTTGATGTACCTAGGCAAACTGATGTCTTTGTTCATATGCTGTTTCAATGTATATTTTCTCATTTTTCACATTTTTTCTTTCCCACACTTTCTTAGACACAAATGCCCGACCCGAAGACCTTTAAGCAGCACTTTGAAAGCAAGCATCCAAAGTCTCCAATGCCCCCGGAGTTGGTCGATGTGGAGGCGTAACAGATTCACCTCTTTCAGTAAGACAGTTGGGGCTGATTCAGGACAGGCTTCTACATTTTGCAATGTTTCAGATAAAATATCTTCAGCACAACTTCAGTTATTCCTCATGCTGCTTAATTTGGTAATTAATATATGGGTGTTGCAGCAGTACTACTTGCCTGCCTGCCCACCAGGCAGGCAATATATATATATATATATTATTTTTTTTTTTTTTTTTTTTTGATTGTATGCAATATTTCTATCTGATCATTTCAAAATGTTGTGCTCATAAGCCCAGCTTGTCCATGGGCTCTACCACCATTACACCATCTCAGGGCTCCCACGTTTTCAGGACAAGCGTTGAATTTTGTAAGAGAATGAATTGGCACTGGCCCAGCTGAACAAAGTTGTAATACTAAAATGATGATTGGAAGCATCCAAATCCAATGTACTACAAATCCCATTTTGGATTTTTGGCTGAAACTAAGTTGTGATGCGCTAGGGTTGGGTTCCTAATTATAGTTTATTCATAATGACTCTGGAGTTCATAATGTACTGTACTTTGAAAGACAAAGACAAACTCATTCTAAACCACTAATAATGTGTTCTTTTGAGTAGATTAAGATTTACTTCCAATCTGCACTGACCTCTCTCCTTTCCTTGATCATTTAAAGAATTCCAAGACAGGTCTCTAGTTTTTGTTAATATGAAGAATATATCACACATTGTGCTACACGGGTACTGAAATTGTGCGTTACATTTTCCCCTCAGATTTCCATGAAATGTATCTAGTTCATGTCCACTGTGTAACTTTCTCATGTGCAAGTTGTAAAAGTTGACCAGAGAGGGCGCTGCAAGTCTACTCATAGTGAACCCTTCCATGACACAATTTCTCCAACTCCTCATAGAGCAATGTGATGACTGCATAAAGCATTTGTTTGCAAATGTTTGTTGAGTGAATCAGGGTGAAGAGAAGTTTTCACTGGATGTTGTAAATGATGGCACTATTGAGACACTTCTGTCCTATCCAGGTTTGTCGTTGTAAAAAGACGTACGTGGCATAATCGTGTTCACTACAGTAGTATTTGATAACGATTTAGTTCATCACAATTGTGGAACCACCAGTCGTCTCAGTGGCATGTGAATACGATCCCAAGTGCAGTCTCAAACTCTTTAGTGTTATTCCCTCATGATGGTGCAAAAGTATTTAGACTGAACTACATGACACTGTAAGTTAGCGTTGGTTCTTATTTTTCTATTAGTTCTTTTCATAGCATGCTAACAGACAGAGAATTAATTTATAGAAATGAAATATTTTCAATACATTTGGACCGACTGGTTATTAACCACTGACATTGTATCACTGTGCTAAAGTCTGGACTGACAACCAGCCATGTTTTTACTTTTGTATTAATAATCATATCTTTGTCCACGCAATGCTATGTATAGCTTTTAATAAAGGTGTTACTTTTACTATTACTAAGGTGTGTCTTTTGATCATTTATAAATTTCCACCTGGATGTTTTTTATTGTTGGTGTATGCATGTGTGGGTGTTTCTGTTGTTTATTGGCCTCTTGTGCTTCCACCTACTGTACAGTTTATTAGTGTACTGCCAATTTAGGCCTCCTGGTTGAAACTAATAAGTGTGTACTGTAGTGTTCTTGTTAAACCACTCTAATCACTATCATATTACAGGTACCCTCCATGCACCATCTATAAACTGTGATAAAGATGGAGATTAATCAGTATAATAAATCACACTTCCTCATCTGCCTCTGCTCTTCCAGTCAGGGCTCTAGGCCTATCTCAGTAATCTGAGTTTTATTAGCCTGTCAGTTTGTACCCTGGTGAGAAAACAGGGCCTCATTGCTCGTCCACACGGTTTATGGTCAAACCAATTCTATATATGAGAGTGAGAAATGTATCATGAAGGTAATAATGAACCACTGCGTCTGTGGGCACGTTACAAGAGCTGACAAACACTAATAATGCTGGGTCTTTATTAGTCATACTCTTGATCTATTAATGCCCTCACCCTGCTGGTTGCTTTAGAAGACTTGTTGCCAGAGACAATCCCATAAAAATAGATTTATATACATACACTATATGTACACATGCCTACATGTTTAAGAAAAGTAAGAGAAATATGTACACAGCACTGTTGAAGTGTGGCACAAGTTATATTTAGTTATACTTACTACACACGGACAAAATTGTTGGTACCCTTCCGTTAAAGAAAGAAAAACCCACCAATGGTCCATGGAAATAGACTTGAAACTGACAAACAGTAATGAATGTCGTCTTTTTTGTCCCTATGGTTCAATTATTTTCAAATCTTACGCTGGGTAACCATAATTTTGTCCAGCCGCAGTTTTTTGTAAAAATGATTCTGTTGAACAAACAATCAAAAGCAATGCCCATTTTCATTATTCATTTTCAGTAATTTCTTATTAATCTATACTTTTGTCAAGTTTCCAAGTTATTTCAGTGTCCATTGTGGGTCTCTCTTTCTTTAACGGAAGGTTACCATCAATTTTGGCAACGTGTGTACATCTAGTTAAACTAAAACTAGCACTGCAACTAACGGTGTATGTGAGACAGGTATACATACGTGTGCAGAATGTTTGTACTACAGATGTCTTAAGTGTGGCTACACCATACATACAGCACATATTCTCCCATCTACATATACTGTACTGTAATGGGGGCTGTTTTTGCTTACCTAAATGTTGATTTGACTTTTTTTGAACGGCCATTTTGTATTTTTTCATGTCTTGTGGTACTCGTTCCATTTAAGTCTGACTCTTGGTAGTATGAGTTGATTCAGATCTTAAAAAAAAGTAATAATACTTCTGTATTACAGGTGGCAGTGTGGTGATCCTACAAACTGTGTATGATGAGATAAAATGAATCAATAACTATAGTCTAACTGGACCTCAAAAGGATTTTGAATTACTCGTCTGTCGCACTAATGCAGGTATAAATCCTGGATTATACAGAGCTCTACGCATGTGCTGAAATAACAATGTGGCACTATAATAACATCAATAAATTATATGAATACCTCCTGTAGCACAAGCCTAAACCAAGTTATGTTTGTAAAGTAATTTGACATCACGACAAAGGACAAAAACATAAAGAGAGCAGTGGAAAAAGGACATGTTTTTTCATGTTATTGCAGCACAGGCCTAAATATCTTGACTTTTAGTCCCTAGTATGGGGCAATTCCATCCTTCATTAGAGCCTCCACACCATGTCGTTTTAACACCACACATACATTTTTAAACAGGTATTCTGCTACAAATGTGTAGTCTCAAAGCTTGGGCTGCGATCACCTGGCCCCCCTTTTGTGAAATAATGAACACACAGTCACACAAATACCTTTCAGATTGTTGTGACTGTCTAAGAGACAAAATGAGAAGTGAAGTTTTTCAGGATTTCACAACAGCAGCTGGAATTCCCACAGACATGGAGGCTTGAATCTTCCCAGTTATCAAAGGCCTTTACACCAAGATTCAGCTCATTATACTGTATTTCCTTTTGGAAGTTCTGCTGGGTACTGCCCCAGACAATGCTGCAGATTTTAGGGACTTTTGAAGAGTGATGGATTGATGTCCACTTGTGCAACATGTAAATGTTTCCTCCTGGGATTTGACTATTGTTATTGAATACAGAAGCCGAGTGGCTCTCACAGACATGACAACATAACTGATAACTCTCGGAGTGTTGCCAGGTAACACAAATCTTGAACTTTGGTTGTAATTCGTATGTGTGCGTGCCTCTGTGTTCAAGTTCTCAAGATGTGGTTGATAGACTGAGAACCCATCTAACCGGTTACACATGTTTAAGTTATCACTGCTAAATCTTTTTTCCTTTACTTGAAATCCCTCCTTCCTGGTCCACACTTTGACAAGTGAAAGGAGACGGTCATCTTCTAGCTCTGGCGCCTGTGCACTTCTACAGTCGACATTATCTGATCTGCCCTTAAATAGGTTACAAGCTTGAAATCTTGGCCCGGGGGGAAAACATGTGACAAGGCAAAAATAGCTTCACTCTCTCCCCCTGGAAACCAACCAGAATGCAGAAATAGTAGTTTCTATTAGGCAAGATATACTGTAGCACTGTGTCCTGTGTTCTAGTTTAGGATGCCCTCAGCATCTCCTGCAAACACTCCTGAATGCTGTTCCAGACACAATTTCACAACTGAGTGGAAAATGATAATGTCTCATTCTGTTAGACAGAATATCACTCTGGAAGCTAAGGTGCTTGGTGGTCTCTAGATAAAATGTGACCTCGTCAGCAATTAGCCAACCATGATCTGTGTCACAGCATCCACATCATGGGTGCTATTTAAGGCTTAAGAATTCCTTTCAGCGTTGTCACCATACAGTGTAGGCTATGTGTTGTCTCTACCTCTGTTCAAAAACAAAAGTGTGATCTGCAGTAAGATAAAGGACAGTGTTGGAACCTGTGAGTGATATTGACTTCCATATCAAAGTTACAGGGGTGTTTCAAGGAGAGGATTTCATAGATTTCCATTTAATTTAATCAGTAGTAAACAGTGCCTGTAATGTCTTTAGGGTTGTGAATTGATTACATTACATTAAGTGAGACAACATCATAGCTGTAATATAATTAACCATAAAATCATCAACATGTGCTTATATTAACTACATGGTTTCTATTCATTTGTCATCATTTGCCTGATAAAGACTAGGGAAGTAATGGTAACGATTGGGAACTATGGAAACTACAACTCCCAAAATGTCTCGCGTTCGGTTGTCCTGGTAACGTTTGACGTCAGTCGCCCCTTCATCACTTCTCTGGCCGTGCCTTGGACTGGTGTGATTGGAGGGAAACCCCGTGGATTACATTCAGACGGACGGGCTGAGAGAATCAGCTGTAGCTTGGTACACGGACATCACCGCTATCTGCCAGTACTCAGGTATGAAAGGACTTTCAGTTTTTAAAAACTGCATTTTAACGTTTGCATAGTGTATCGTTAGGTCTCCTAACCTATCGTAAAATATAGTTCTAGCGGAAGCGCATTATCTCCAATTGACTATGCGGCTGCATCCGAGGCGACAGTCGTCAGACGAAAGAACAATGCTTAGCTTAGCTACACTTTGGGATGTGTCTAATGGCTGGTGTCAAAATGGAACATCAGACGGGGAAGGCGTGTCAGGTCGAGAATTGAGACACTGAAATCTGGTGGCATTGGCTACAAACGTGAAGTAATTTGTCAGGCTATGATAAGTGGTACCGTGTGGCTGTCGCTCGTTAATAAATATCGCTAGTAAATATGTCCGTTATTCTTCAGGTATTATCTTAATCTCCGTTTCAGCGTATGTAACTAATACTACACATTGAACGATACAAACAGTGCCAGCAAGGTTCAGTAACATCAGTTGCACGGCGCTTTAAGTTAGCTAATTAGTTTTATTTGCTGTTTACAGTTGTTAAGTAGCTAGCTAGTTCATTATCAGAACTACTAAGACGAGACAAAGTGTGATTCTTATCACATCTTCCTCAGACGGGCAGCTAAACTCAGATAACGTTATATACCTTTTTCTAAAGGGTTGTAGCGCTAACCAACCAAGCTCATAATGTTTTGGTTCGAAGTTAAGACCCACGTTTGAAGGTGTGTGCACACATTATGAGCTATCAGAGGAGCTATAAATATGGACATAAGCCTTTGCCCATTTATAAAATCTGCCTGCTTGGAATGCTTCTGTTTCAGGAAATAGCCGACGCCATACTGGAAATGGGTCACGAGGCCCTTTTCATTGACTGAATGGTGTCTAAACTATGCCTGTAATTTGTAGTGAATATTTTATTTTTAGCATACAACACAACATTTCAAAGAAATTCCAATAACGCATGTTAAAATCCCTGTATAAATCCATTTTTATTCAAAAGTCAGTGCAGAGAGAGAAACACAAAGACATGTAACAGTGTAACATCCTTGTAAAGGCCTTCTGGCTAACCAGAAATGATCACACCCCTGTGGTGGTGTCACTGACTTGATGTACTAGTATACATATATATATATACATATATTTAGATATGGCTGCCAAAAACACTATATGTGATATTTTTGAGAGGGATACAACTGAATTTCCAAAGACCATCTATCAGTGACCGGAGGGGAATCTGATTTTCATGTCACTGCTATTCATTTCCTGGCCATGCAGAAAGCCATTTATACACATTTAATTTGGGACTAAGTTGAAGACACTTTTACACATTAAAGCAAAGCTCAGGTTCTGTTGGGATCAAATCATTCTAAGGTGAATGATTAGACAGAGTTCTAGATAGGTGTTCAGATTGTAACATTTTATGAATTGGCTTTGTTGAAAACGGAAAAAGGTCAATCCTACTATTAGAGTTAAGGGGGCAGGAATGAAAAGAGTAGTTTGAGGTTGCATCTGTCTCCACTCATTTGTCAAACTGTCGCGGTGGACTTATCCAGAGTAATGATCCAAGCACAAACCAAAGTTGCCCCTTACAAGAGAATGTTGTTATTGATACCTTGAGAAAGATGTCCTTAATACAGGATTCATCATCATAGTTGGGTGCATATAGGGTTTAAAAAGGGTCCAGGGTTCTGAGTAAACCTGACAATGAACTAATCTGCCTCATGGATCAATAATAGTTCCTCCAGTCATCACTGGGGTGTTTTTTCATCAAAATAGCCACTCGGCAATATCAGTTTTGGGGTAACCCGGTAGCTCAGCTGGTTGAGCATGCACCCCATGTACCTTTACCTCATCCTTTCAGCTGTTCTGTGAAAATGAAGGCGATAAAAAGATCCCAAAAATGATCTTACAAAAGAGATTGCAATATGAATTTGCAGTTTTTTCAGGTGTGTCAAGACTTGCTTTTAACCTTTCAGCCCATTCACATTAAAGCTAACAAGTTGTACTACTCAGTTCATCGCCCAGGTGCCTACTCCTACCAAACTGGGACGTGCACTTTGACTTATCAAGTATGACATGCCTGGCTGATTGGTAAACATCTTGTCCAGTCCAGGGCTCTGTCGGAGAACATGAATTACCATACCAAATGATTCAGTTTGAATTGAAACAAGACATTATTACTATGCAAATGACTCTTCCTAACATATTCTATTTTGGTTATTCCGTTGGTGCGTCGGCTCTTGTTCTCCAGTTGGTCGACTTTCTCTTATTTTAAAAAGCCATTTTCTCTTATCCACTTGAGAACCAGCTCCACCAGCTGGTCCACCGCTTTGACTGTGGCAGCTCAGCGTATCTGGCATCATTTTCACTCCATAGATAAACTGATTGATGTCTGCGGTTTTAGAGTAGAGTTTACTGGAGAAGACTTGATAACACTTTCTTATCTAATGAAGAATAAGTCATTTGTTCACAAGTTACATTTAGTTCTTTGTTCCTTGGGCTCAGGTCAGGTTTGGTGCAACTTTCGGACCAAATAAAAAGTAGGCGTGGGTGTTTTTTAAAAGGGTTTAAGATTGATTCCTTTGGAGACCCTTTGGCTAGCATCTACATTGTTTCGCTGCACCACATGACCCCCCACTAGCATGGACGTACTTTTGAGTCCACGTGGACCAAATGTACTGATATTAATCACATTAGGCCGCTGTAACGCTGCTCTAGGTAACTTGAACTTACACAATGCAAAACTCTCCACTTCTCGTTATTCCCCACTGTTTGTCATCATGCTTCTTGACCACATGTCCATACAAACTGAACAATCTGGGTAAGGTGTTCATGCATTGGAGACTCCTCGTGGCTCTGATTGGTTGTGTTCTGTAACACGCAGTGGATTTTTACAAACGTGTTAGAAGCACTAGGATGAACCAGTGGAACCTGATATTATTTGATTTTTTCCCACAGATGATGTGTCACATGTTACTACTGTCAGGAATATAGTGAC